CCCCAAAACCCCAAAACCCCAAAACCCCAAAACCCCTTTCTCTTATTACATTATTGCATTTTGATAAATTAACTTTACCTATCACTAACATGGAAGACTTAATAAACAGATTCATTGACTTTATGTGAGACTTCGGCCTAATCTCTCCATCTAACCAGAAAGGAGAAATCTTCATCCTTAGAAGAAGGTATGCTCTTCTTCTGAAGGAAGCAGAAGAAAATGAGCAACTTTCTGAAGAAAATACAGAGGATTTGTTCCTCAGCTTTACTAAGGATATCCTCATTGACTTCTTCGAAGAGCGAGCTGAGGAGGTTACCTCAGGTATCCTTGACAGATGGGTTGACAAGCACCAGGAAATGGAGGATATGAAACAAAGGGAAGCAAAGCTTAGTGCTCAAATTTTGGCTAAGACTCTTATAAAATCCTTTGATCTTCAGAAATTCTCTGCTTTCAGCATTCTTAAGCAAAATTCTGAGTTAAAAGCTCAGGATGAGCTGAAAAAGCAGCTACAGAATGAGAAAGAAGCTAGAATTGTTATGGAAGCTTCCATGGCTACTCTTCAGATGGATCTTCGGGAGGCTCTATCCAAAATTGAGAAGTTTGAGAAACAAGAACGAAAGAGGATCGAGAGGAAAAAGAAAAGTATACAAAGAAAGAGAAAACAAATGGTAATTATAATAACTTAGATTTAGGCAATGGGTGAAGACATCCAGCCATTTTCCATAGAGAAGTCTCCATTCAAGTCAGATTGAGAAGACGAGTCCTATCTTGAGAATGGCTTACTCTCTAGTAGAGAAAAGCCAAACCAATTGCTTGAGACTCAGGTGAAAAACAAGAATAGGAGGAGGAACTTTGGAATAGACCAAAGAGGCTCGGTGAATACTGAGATGAAACATTATAGACTTAGAAGCAAGTTATTATCAAACAAGGGGTCATTTTCAGCAGCTTCTTCTGTATCTCGTGGAGGCCAATCCCAGTTCTCATTCCATCCTTCTATCAATTACGATAGTGTCTGGAAGCCTAGATATGATGACCATCACGACCACAAGCAAATGGTTACTCGTATGCATAAAGAAATGGAGAAAATACAAGCTAAGAAAAGAATTGCTTCTGAACACAAAAAGCTGGAAGAAATTTCTAAGTGAACTTTCAAGCCAAAATTGGTTGCAAAGCCCACTCAGTCTAGCCTCTTTCGGAAGAGCCAGAGTACCGCTAATCTCAAGGCTGAGTCTGAGACTAATGAGCCTGCTGGCATCAAAGAGCTAAGCTCTAGGCTGTACCAATATGCCGATAAATTTAAGGAAAATAAGGAGCTTAAGAAAAAGGAAATCGATAGCGAAAGAGGAAGCGAAATTAGATTTAAGCCTCAACTTGAGACATCCAAGTACAACAAAGAGCTCTTAGGCAAAATTAGGAACAAAGATAATGTCTACATTGACCTCTACCGGGACTCTGTCAGAAGAGCTGAGATGAAGAGGAATAAACTTAAGGCTAAAAACTCCAAACTTGCTTTAAATGAGGACATCGTTTTGACATTTAGAAAGCCGAATCTTAACCAGAAGTATAAGAAGTGCACTATTAACGGAGATATTGACCCTTCTGTACAGTATAGTACCAACCCGATGACACCTCAATCGTTCTCGTCAAAGCTGTATTCAGGGTACAAGTCCAATCCGAACCTTCTTTCCTAAGCAATGGGTTGGAATAAAGTGATAAATTCTCTAAAATTTTACTGATTTTCAAAATTTGTATTTACTCTCGAACTATATGGGTGCTTATCCATAATCATTTGGAGCATTTAGGGACGTATATAATACGTAGAAGTCTATAGAAACCAGATATATCCAAGTTCATGTTCGGTATTCCTTACATTCGCCACTTCAGGCTCTCTAGAGAGGCTGAATCACTAAATGGATATAAGTGAATAGCCTATCTGCTTATATAGTCACCGAAGTTTTCAAATATTTAAGTTAGTTCAATTTTAATTTTATTTAACGGGGTTTTGGGGTTTTGGGGTTTTGGGGTTTTGGGGTTTTGGGG